TCTCTTTCTTTTTTTTTATTTTTTTATTTTTTTTTTAATGTTCTATTTATTTCTAGGAGAAAGAGAGACAGCGCGAGCAGGGGAGGGTCAGAGAGAGAGGGAGATACAGAATCTGAAACAGGCTCCAGGCTCTGAGCTGGCAGTCAGCACAGAGCCCGAGACAGGGCTCGAACCCTCGAACCGTGAGATCATGACCTAAGCAAAAGTCGGACGCTTAACGACTAAGCCACCCAGGCGCCCCATGGGCCAGACAGTTTCTTAAACACACCAGAAAACGCATTGTGCACGACGAAGACCTGCTGGTGAAGATGACTACTGGACAGCAGCATATTTGAGGGTTTATCGGTCTGCATGGATCATGCTGAAAAGGAAAGTCATCTTGTCTCCCGAGTGTTTCTTAAGAACAGGGAGAACCAAAGGTTTAGGTGACCCGGGGAATAAACTATGCCTCTTGCACCTCCTTATCCCCAGTGTCAGTTGTGCAGGAGAGAGGTGTGCAGCATGTGCCCTGGAAAGAACACAAGCAAGTTGCAAAATAATTTGCATAGAATGCTTCCATTTCACTCTATAAAGCAAAACAAAGGTCATATTTGTGTGTGAGTTTGTCTGTGTTCACAGAAAAGAGGACAAAGGAAATCTCAAGGCTCTTATGCCATGGCAGAAATGAGGCTTTACTCTGTTCTGAGTCCTCGGTAAACTGTCCATGCACCCTTATGCATTCCTCAGTCTCTGTGGTTCACGGTATTAGCTCTAAGCCTTGGGCCCACCAAGTTTTGCTTTTCTAGTAAAAGGGAGAGATTTTGGTATTGAAAATAAATCCCCTTTCTCTTTTCAAATGCCAGGGTTTTGCAAATCAAGATGATTTGGGCTTCAAACTACAGTGTATGCAATAGTAGCAGGATATACCTTGCAATATTTGGGATATACTTATACTAAACAATGACTTGTTATCTAAGCATCTTGTATTTTATCTGGCAACCCTATCTTAGTCACCCGAGTCTTAGGAAAGAAGTAACCCCAAACCCTTTTCTTTCTAGAGTTATTATATTATTCTGGGCTATTATATTATTCGTTGCTGCATTGGCCATTCATTATTGCTTTGCAAGTATTACTATCTGGTTAGGAATCCCCTGGAGATGAGATATATATATCATCAAGACTGATGGAGGGCGCCTGGGTGACTCAGTCAGTCAAAACTCTGACTCTTGGTTTCTGCTCATGATCTCACCTTCACGATCTCACAGTTTATGAGTTCCAGCCCCACATGGGGCTCTGCGATGACAGTGAAGAACCTGCATGGGATTCTCTGTCTCCCTCTCTCTCTCTCTGCCCCTCCTCTGCTCAAACTCTCTGTCTCAAAAATAAACTTAAAAAAAAAAAAGACTGATGCAATTGTGCAGTCCTCTAACCTGTGGAATGAGATTTTCCTAGGGTCAGAGTAATTGACTCTGTTCTCTAGTTTCTTAGTTTCCATTTTCACACTTTTCCCACCACCAATTGCTTACTTCCCCTGAAGTCTGTCTCATTATCCACCTATCTTTGCATTTGAATGCAATGTTTCCATTGACTGGGACACCACAGCAATTGGTTTCATGGCTTTTGTTGTCCTTGTTTCTTTGTCAGTTTTTCATTGTGGGGTAGCAGAGAGATTTCTTGAAAAAGAAGGGTAATTCTGGCCCCTGCAAGTAATGAACTCTATGGTTGGCCTTGAGCTACTCACGGTTTTCTCTCAGAACCTCAGTTGCTTCATTTGTGAAATGGTAATGTCTCCCATACTAACCTAACTGGGTTGTAGAGAATATTGTGAAATAAACAATATGAAAAATATTTTGCACCTTATAAAATACAGTGCAAACACAGGGGCTTTCTTTAGCCAATACAGATCATTGGCTGTGGCCAACAGACTGTTGTTCTCTTACAGTATCACTTATTATCACTATTCTTCAGATACGATAATCCTGTGTTCACTGCTGATGTATGATCATAGCATCATCAATTGGCTTGAAGCATCCACTGTAACTAAGGCGGTTCGCCTCCTAAGTGTATATCTGTTACCGAGAAAGCAATGAGGTGTGCAGGAAAGGGCGTGAGATCTAGATTGAGAACACCCACAGGGAGCCCTTGGTCTAAGTCCTAGGGTGCGGCTCTTAACACGGCTTTACCTCCCCATGGAGCCACCTTGAGACTAAACAAGATGGTACTCACGGAAGTACTAGGGGAATCCGGTGTGCTCTCAAGGTACCGAGAGCACACTACCTTGGATCGCCTCTACCTGACCCCTACTGTCCGGTGAGGAGGCAGCTGAATGGCTTTCTCAAGGTCGCACAAGAACGAAGGGGCAGAAGGAGGATGAGGAAGTGGCTCTGAGGCCCCACCTGGATGTCCCACAGTGTACTCTACGCTCCTCCACCTTCTTCTGTTTTCAGACTCTTGGACTTGGTTTTCCTTCTTCCCAAATGTTTTCTCCTTGAGAATGTTCACATCTCTGTCTTCAAAACTTAACAGGATTGTCAACTTTGAAATGTCTCCAATTCTCCAATGTTGTCTACGAAGTGTTATGTCATCAAAGATTAGTCTCCCGTTCTGTTGATATTCAAAACATGTAAAATCCTTACATATATCTTCGAAGACATTTCCTTTTGTTTTGCAAATGACATAAAAGAATATAGAAATTAAATAAGTAAGGAACACCTGGGTGGCTCAGTTGGTTAAGTGTCTGACTTTGAGTCAAGTCGTGATACCATGGTTCATGAGTTCAAGCCCCACATTGGTTTACTAAGCACAGAGGCAGCTTCAGATGCTCTGTCCCTCTCTTTCCTCCTCCCCTGTTCTCTCTCTTTCAAAATAAATACATAAACTTAAAGGAAAAAAAAGAAATTATATAAATTAAATAAAACTCCACTCTATTAAAAAGTGGGGAAGGGCTATCTGGGTGCCTCAGTGGGTTAAGCCTCAGACTCTTGATTTTGGCTCAGGTCATGGGCTCAGGTCATGATCTCACGGTTCCTGGGATTGAGCCCCATATTCCACTCTGCACTGACAGCACAGAGCCTTGGGATTCTCTCTCCCCCTCTCCCCTCCCCCACCTCTAAATAAACGTTTTTTTTAAGTGGAAAAAAATAAAAGCCTTAGTCACACACACACACACACACACCCCGTTTCCTTTCCTAGATATATACTATATTTATCATCTCTATTTGCTTTTGGGTCAAGGAGGTCGTCTGTGTTGCCTTCCCTAAATCCTCATTAGCTCCTGAAGTTTGAAGGCAATGGATTATATTTTAAAATGTGTTGGTGGGTTTTTGTTTTTTGTAGTTTAAAATTTTTTGTTTTGTTTTGTTTTGTGTTCCCAGCTTTTATTTCAATGATACCAACATAGTAGCGCTACTTGGTAGTGTTGACTTTAAAAATTTTTAAGTAGAAACAAGGACAATGTCTTTAATATGGGGGGAGGGACTGCTCTACAAAAGACCAGTCAGAATATGGACTATCTTTATCATCTCTATATGATTTGGGGGGCAGAGAGGTGGTCTGTGTTGGCTTCCCCAAATTCATCATTAGCTCCTGAAGGTTGAAGGTAATGTATTATATTAAAAAACATTTTTTTTTGTATTCCCAGCTCTTCTTTTCTCAATGATACAGGCACAGCAGCAGTACTTGGTAGTGTTGACTTTAAAATAAAAGTAAGGATCAAGGTAGCTCATGTGTAGAGGGGGGCTGTACCTCATATGTAGAGAGGGGCTGTTCTGCAAAAGACTAGTCAAGTGCAGTAGTGAGAAGGGGGGAAAGAGTAGAACAAGGAGTTCGATCTGTAACTGACTGTGAACAATCAATTGAGATAACTCACTACCTTCGGACCAGCCGAAAAACCCAGCTCCTATTTCGGCTATTTAAAGTTCAAATGTATCCTCACTTTTAGGTCGCAGTGACATTTCAGTCATTGTTTATAAAGAACCTGTTCACAGGACACAATTGCACGCATCCTCCAAGAACCCCTCAGCGCAACCGTTTATCAGCAGATAGCGTAAACGTATTTAACGACCAGAATCAGGCGCGCTGCTGAGCATCCTGGGAAAGAGAATGCAAAATTAGCATCTCGTCACTAGGGCGGTTCTTTTCGTGTCCTGCTTGTCTGGAGTGGGTCCCCAGGCGCAGGGTCGGGGCGAGCTGCCCAATCAGCGCCGACCTCCTTTGTTTACGGCGTGTGACCCGTGCGCAGCCCTGGGAGGTCGGGAGAAAACTGAGGCGGCGCGAAGCCCTGCTTCCCAGCATCCGCAACCCCAGCGGAGCGCCACACCCTGGAGGCGGCCGCCCTCCCTCTGGGCGGGGTCCGCCCCCTTCGGAGGGGCAGAGATGCCTCCCCCGACTGCCCCAGATCGCGTCCTCCTCCCTAAACCCCAACTGATAGAAAACAGAAACCACTACAGTAACAGGAGGAGGAGGGGCACCTGAGACCCCCCCAAAACCTTGGATGCTGCTTATGACCTCGGAAGCCAAGATGCCTAGGTGAAGGCAAGTGGAACAGATTTCTTTAAAGTGTCAGAGAGGCAAACCTCAGGAAGACCTAGAGTTCGCCCTCGGGTCAAAGATCAGCGAGAGGACAGTAGGGATGAATCTGGAGAAACAAGGATGGGAATATTCTGGAACAGGACGTAGAGACCAGCAGAGCTCACAGCTCCCCAGGAAGAGCAGACCCAACTATAAGACTGCAGGGGGGAAGAGGGGGGGCAGGAGAGACAGGAAGGCCGGAAGCCGCCCCTCCCTCCTCCCACCTTGACCAGAGAAAATGTGCCCCTGGGTACCCCAAGCTGACGTGAAAGGAGAATCGCTGATTCCTTTTGGTGCCTAGCACAATGCCTGGCCGTAGCAGGTGCTCAGTAAACATGTTGAGTGAATAAACACATGAGATTAAGGAGAATGAACAATTCCAGAAAACTAGACATAGGGAAATGTCTCAATTTTCAAGAGGGGAAAAATGAGAGTAAGAGTTTCATAAATTACCACCTCTAAATTACTGTCTCTAGTGAAATTCTAGTAGAAGACAGTGGGAGCCAACTTAAAATTAACAGGGGGGAAAAAATCAAACACCGAAATAGTTAATTTCTGTTTTGTTCAATTGCACTGGTGTTTGACTCCGTTGATTACAGCTCTTCTTCTGCCTGTGTGTGGGTTGGGTCCAGTGGGCTGGAAGGGATTCGACAACCAGGTTCAGAGCCTGCCGTTGGGGACCGATGCCACCCAGGCGCTGGTGCCGTGCCATGGCGTTGTTCCTTGGTCAGCCCCTGTCTAACCTGTTGTCATCAACCACATGAATGACGATGGCCCTAGATGGATGACACGCGAGGTAATACATTGTGAGAATCAGGAAGGCGCTAGAGATTTACAGCATGGGCTCATCTCGCCTCACCCGGGTCCTCGATTTCACTGTCTACTATGTATCTTTGGAGACAAGTTGCTTACAGTGCTTGAGCCTCAGTTTCTCAGGTGAAATGGGCATAACCCGAGTATCCGTTTTTGTAGCAGGTTGAGGGGATTAAACGTGAAGCCATGCAGAGAGTTGGTTCAGCCTGGCTCACTAAAGAGCCCTGTAAAAGCTCTTTAAAAACATCAAGGCTTTCGGGGCGCCTGGGTGGCTTAGTCGGTTAAGCGTCCGACTTTCGCTTAGGTCATGATCTAGCGCTTCGTGGGTTTGAGCCCCGCGTTGGGCTCTGTGCTGACTGCCAGCTCAGAGCCTGGAGCCTGTTTCAGTCTGTGACTCCCTCTCTCTCTGACCCTCCCCTGTTCACTGTCTCTCTCTCTCTCTCCTAGAAATAAATAAAACATTAAAAAAACAAAACAAAACATCAAGGCTTTGGCAAGAACAGCCTTGGAGCCCAGCTAGCCTCGCCCCCAGGGAACTGTTGCTTCCAAGGGCCCCACTAGTGTAGGGGTGAGTGAAGGGCAGTGATTAGAAACGTGGCTTAGTAGGTGTCCCTGTTGGGGGTGCTCACCTGGGGTCAGAGAAGTAACAGGAAGGCTGACCAGTCTGCACCCAGCCCACCCTTGAAATGGAGCGCGTCTGCCCGGCCAGGCGGTCACCGGCGTTCAAATGTGGTTGAAGCACAGGCCGTTCCACGTACCCAGCAGCCCCCTGGACAACCAGCCCCCAACCCGGCACCAGACTGCAGTCCCCAGCTACCCCGAAGGAACTCGATTCTTTGGGCTTTTTACTCAGGGCATCCTCTGTGATTGTGAAAGTCGGGAAGAACAAAGGGGTTTTACTGAGGTCTGCGGTTCTAACTGAAGCCAGCCCTCGGGAGCCTGGTCTTTGGCCCACGGAGGATGGTTACCACAGTCTGAATCAGATCCAACATTTTAAAACCGGGCGAGTTCACATTAAAATTCTGGCTTTTCTTAAAATAGCGAACAGCAGCAGCAGGTCCGGATCCCTCCAGGCCACAAGTACCCGTCCAAGCGGGACACAATCTCAAGTGTGCCCCGGTCCCCACCGCTCCCTAGTGCCCACCAGCCCCTTGAACACCTGTTTGCAACCTCTGACCTTGAAGGTCCTTCAAGTCTCCAGCCAACCTGCGATTTCCAGGTAGGTTGCCCTCCTAACAGCCAGGGAGAGGGAGGATTCAGGGTTCCTATACACTCGTGACCGAGGCTTCAGTTTTTGATCCAACCTGGGCTGAGCTCACACTTCCTTTTTATATAGAAGAAAAGCCAGAAAGAATACAGAGCGCTCCTTTCCCAGAAGATTCCTTCTGCAGGCAATTTCCAGAAAGGCCCCCTTCTCCATTTTACTAACAAGTGGTCCTTTGTCCTCCTCTCGGCCACAGAATCCCCGTAATCTAAAGTGGGAACACACGGAACTGGGAAGTCTCAAGTGCAAGGTGAGCGAAGGAAGCCAGTGGGGAGGAGGGGACGGCGGAGCCTGGTAGACCCAGGGATCTGGTTCTTCAGTAATTCATTCTAACTTGTCACTGTGTGCTTGGCCCTGGCCTCCCCGCCAGCTCACGTTAGCATTCCCAAGCCCCGGGCCAGGCACAGCCAGCCAACCGTCATGTGGAAACTACATGGATTTAAAGGAGAGCCGCCTTAACTTCGTCAAGGTGCCACAGGATGCATTTTAAATACCTGGGATTCGGGGCGCCTGGGTGGCTCAGTCAGTTGAGCGTCCGACTTCAGGTCATGATCTCACAGTTTGAGTTCAAACCCCGCATAAGGTTCTGTGCTGACGGCTCGGAGCCTGGAGCCCGGAGCCTGCTTTGGATTCTGTGTCTCCCTCTCTCTCTGCCCCTCCTCCCTACTCACCTTCTGTCTGTCTGTCTCTCTTTCTCTCAAAAATAAAGATTAGGAAAAAAAAATAAATAAATACCTCAGGATTCACGCTCCTGAGGAATCAAGGAGCTACAGGAATGTGAGCTCTCAGGGATAAATCCCTTCGCCCCAGCGGATAGGATCTTGGGAACACCTGTGAGAACACTTGTAACTAGTTGCTGACATTTTGTGCTGTGATGGGCTCAGGGGCGGGCTGGTTGAGGCCCATACCTTCACCCCAGGGCCCATCCACATCAAAAGAGGAGGGAGGGGGAGGGGAAGGCATCTGTGCTTCCTCAGGGCCAGGACACTGGGACACTGGCATGGGGAGAGGTCACCGCGCAGCTCCGGGGACCCGCGTGGTTTGTGCTAAAGAAGCCAGGTGAAGCCTATTCTTCTCCCACAGAGTCCCTGGAACGTTCTGTGAGCTTCTTTAACAAGATCCCCATTTAAGTTTTTTTTTTTTTTAAGTTCTAGTATTTCCCAAGTCAAATTATCAACAGAATTCAACTATATTTTGTTAAAAATTTTTTAACATTTATTTTTGAGAGACAGAACCTGAGTGGGGGAGGGGCAGAGAGGGAGGGAGACACAGAATCCGGAGCAGGCTCCAGGCTCTGAGCTGTCAGCACAGAGCCCAACACGGGGCTCAAACTCATGAACAGGTGAGATCATGACCTGAGCTGAAGTCAGACGCTTAACCGACTGAGCCACCAAGGTGCCCCTAACAGAATTCAACTTTAATGGAGCATTTATTAATCTTTAGAAATATTCTTTGAACACATCTTGGGAAATTCTGGGGCCTTAGAAAGAACACTAGTTCTGAGTTTGTTTCAACTTGCCAATTTTATGGCCCTATGGCTTTGGGCAAATTTAATTTTTTTTAACGTTTATTTTTGAGAGAGCGCGCGCGTGCACACGAGCAAGTGAGCACATGAGTGGGGGGAGGGGCAGAGAGAGGGAGATGGAGAATCCAAAGCAGGCACCAGCCTATCAGCACAGAGCCTGACGTGGGGCTCTAGCCCACGAAGCAGATCATGACCAGAGTTGAAATCAAGAGTCGGATGCTTAACTGACTTGAACCACCCCAGCGTACCTGGGCCAATTATTTAATCTCTCTGGCCTCCATATTCTTCATTACGAGATACAGGTCATAATATCTGCCCTGTCTTCATTTCAGGGGTGAAATGTGATTGTTATCTGGGGACTTCTGAAAACTGATACTAGGCCCCACTCCGGCTGGATCTGATTCAGTACGCCAGCACGGGGGTTCACCAAAAATCTGCATTTTATACAGACCCAAACCCTACACTTGGGGTCTATCTCATCCCCACAAGGCAGGGTCAGGGGCACCATCCTGGCCCATCACAACAGGTGTGAGAGGCAAAAGCATAAGCTCTTCCCACGTACGTGGAGAAGGCGTCGAGCTTAGCATTTCAGAGCCCAGCAGAGCTTTGGTCTGGTGTCCCACGGTCTGTCCTCTTATGTACTGGGAATCGCATCCTTCAGTTCGCACACGGCTGGGTGAGAGACAGTCACCGACGACAGGGGTGTGCCTCTGCCAATGAGAACTCCAAGCTTGGGCCTTGCAGCGCCCGCCCCACCCACAATGGCCACACCACTGCCCGGGGTCCCCGGCAGTCATCGTAGCCACGGAGTTAGGGCACTCGCCCAGACTCACACGGCTGCGGGGCCGAGTCCGCCTGCATTAAGGCTTTGGTAACAGCATGTGCTGGGCCCTAGACGCCTGGCAGCCCCGCGGTCAACGGCCCGCGTCTTCGGCCCTCCGGACTCGGTGCTGGGTTCTCTGCTGCGCTTTCCCCAGGTTTTATGTGCCTCTGGGAGAGACCGAGGTACTGAACGTTCCTCAAAGTTGTGCACACCACACAAACAACAGGTTCAACCGATCCCGTCCCTGTTTCTGCCAAGTGAGAGCTGCAGGGAAAAGCCAACAGGTGACGGGCACAGGAGACAAGCCCGGAGCAGACGCTGTGCTGAGTCTACAGCAGACCGGCTGTAAAGAGCCATTTTTGAGACGCTCGGGCACCTGTGATTGTGTGCTGGGTACTGGATGGGATCATGGGCTTTGGTGGCTGTGCTGAAGCGCAGGGTGGTTCTGTGCGAAGGGCATTCTCAGGTCTGAAGCGGTGAAACAGAAAGGAAGGGGGACGGAAGGATAAAGAAGATACGGCAAAAGCCTGGTGACTTGTTTTAGGTGGGTGATGAGCAAATCCACACGGCCCTGTGTGCACCCACTAGACCGGAAGCCCCCAGAAAAGCAGCACTTGGTTCTTTAGCCAGAGGGGTTTGCTTCTTCAAGCCCCACACCCACCACCTCTGAACCGGAATGTTCTGGTATCAGGTCCCTGAGCGGGGAGGCCCGCTCCTTCTCCTAGTGGAAGAGGACACAGAGGTGGGTGCAGTGCACCTGCTGCTGCACTGGCCACTCAGAACTTACCAGAGCACCACCGCCCTCCCACGGCTCCCACCGCTTGGGCCACTTGGCTGGAAAGCGGTCAAGGCCCACCCCTGCCCAAGACCCGCTTCCTGGCGCCCTCCAGGCACCCCACCCCTGCCCCGCAATCACATGTCACTCCAGAACTGTCGACCTCCTCACTTCTGTGTTAGTCACGTCAGGAGCAGGCGAGTGGAGGAATGAGGCTCACCTCACGCACACATCCCCCAGACCTCCATGTCGGGGCTGCGCCAGCGCCTGCCCCGTCCCCCCCACCCAGGCCCCCCCAGTGCTGGGGACAGTCTCCTCAGCCTCCAGCCCTGTCCTCCACACAACCAGGAGCACAGACCGCCGATGCCCCCCACCTCCATCAGGACACCCCACTCCCCAAATGCTGGGGGGGGTTCTGCGGCAATGGGCACCTGTAGGATGGGCCGCCCTCCCCATTCTCAACTCCACCCAGGCTCCAGGATGGAGCGGATGTTCTCTGACACAGTTACGGGTGATTTTCAGTAATTGTTTTATTCCATTGAGAGCCTACCCTAACTTTTCCATCACCCATGCCCTAGGTCACCTCTCCTCCGGGAGTACAGGTGCCCAACAGGAGGAGCTGGCCTCCGTCCCCCTGCCCCCCACCCTGAGGCTGAGCCCTGGAAGCCGGCACCCAGGGTCTGAGGGACCCGGGAGATGCTCCTCGCCCCGCAGTCCTGGGCGTGAGAGCAGAAGGCACGATGACACCCAGTGCCGCAGAGAGACGGGGACGGCTGACATGTCATCCTCGGCAGGGGGCTCGGTGACAGTTCTTGGTGCCGTACGGGAAGAAATGAAAATGAAAGCACACGACTGTCAGATCTTCTTCAACCAGTAATTCCTCAGACAATGGTAAAATAAAAGGCAAAAAAAAAAAAAAAAAGAAAAAAAAATCAACATGATTTGGCGACTGTTTTCTTAAATTTTAAATTAAAAGAAAAAAGCATTCACACATAAGAGAGTCAACGTATCTGCTTTGAAGAAATATATTAAAGAAAATGGAAGGTTTAAAAAAAAAAATCAAACCCCAAATAATGGTAAAAATAGATGTATCCTCTGTAAAAATCTGGGCTAATCTACTGAGTCATTCATATCTATTTAGTATTCAGAGCATGAGGTGGAACACCGGAGTATAAAAAAATTAAAAACCAAAAAAGAGATACTGCCCTTGCGCTAGGCCGCCGGCCGCACAGCTCCCGAGGCCGCTGGCCACCGGCCGCTGGTGACGACAGTGTCTGGTCCCTCCCGCCCGCCACAGGCCGCCCTCGAGGCCTTCAGAGCTCCTCCCTGGTCCTGCTCAGTTTTGTGGCGTGTTCTTCTAAAAACTTGCTCAAATGTTCCAGATCTCGGTTTCCGTCCTCAAACTTAATTGGGTTCTTTTTGTCCCCACTGGGGGCAAAGTAGATGGTCGGGAACCCCTCGACTTTGTAGCGGTCGCTGGGGATGTCGTTGGAGGTGGCGTCCATCTTGGCGATGACCAGACCCTTGTGGCCTTTGTACTTCTTGCCCAGGGCGGTGTACTCGGGCTCCAGCTGCTTGCAGTGCCCGCACCAGGGCGCATAGAACTCGATGAGGACGTCCTTCTTGGGGTCCATCACGATGGAGTCAAACGTCTTCCCCACCACGACCTTGACCGGCCCCTTGTTGTTCTTGGGCACCGGCTGGGACTTGACAACCGGCTTCAGTTTTCCTGCCGAGGGAGGCAAGCAGGGGAGCCACGTGAGTGCCGCAAACGCCCCGGGCTCCGGCGGGCCGCCAACACCAGGCGGCGAGTGCAGGCCGGGTAGAGCCCGCCGCCCCGAGTGGGCCCCTTAGCTCTCTGGCCTCCTCACCCCCTCTACTCTCCCAGTTCCTGTAAAGGCCAGAGAGCCTGCTGATGGTAGCCCCCCAGGCCTGACGGGACGCCAGGCCCCATCCAGGGAGGCTGCCACAGGAGGGGTACCACCCGGCGCGGAGTGGCTCCTAAAGGAGCCGGCAGCCGGGGCCGGGAAGGCCTGTGGGCACCGGCACAAGGTCACCGGCACGTGGTGGAGCGAGGTCTGCAGAAGACTCCACCCCGGGCCAGAAAACTGGGCCCCTGTCTACAGAGAGACTCTAATCTAATGCCTCAGACCAAGTTTTCCATGGATACAAAACTTATTTCTAGATCCAAAAGCCTGTCTTACACCTCAAACACTTTTAAAATCGGCTTCTCAAAATTTCCAAGATACCAGCCTTTTATTACAAAAAAGAAAAGGAATGGGGGCCTCCGTGTCCATTCTCCCACCCCACCCCCCCAGCACAGGAGGGCACGCCCAGGGCCAGGCTCACCACATATGGGGGGGAATGCCGGGTTGGCGCTCCCTGTGGGGAAGCGTGTGGCCAAGGCTCACCTT